ACAGTCTGCTGAAATTGAAAAACAGAATGTTTCCAGCAGGCCCCTAATCTACTAACCTAGTTATTCCATCAATAAGGAAGTGAAGTTAATTTAACATGACTTTTCCTTAGTGAACTCCTAGTGACTGCTAGCAACCTCCACACTCGTTTCTGAAAAGCACACAAACCATCTGTTCCCCATCTCTGCCAGCAATCAGCCTGCGGCTTGCTGGCTAGGATTATTAGAATTTACCCTCTGCTACCATCACAGATTCATTTGACTTTCTTATCTTAAGGCAACAGTTGCCTGGCATTTTAAATATCATTTGTATTTCCAAATTCTTTCCATTCCCCAGATCTAGCCCTAAAGACAGAAGCCACGGAAAAGCCCTCTCCATTCATTTATTCAGCATTACACAGTACCTGCAGTGTGCCTGGCCCCGTGCTGTTTTACAGCCTGCACTTCACAGCTCTGCTTGAAGACACTTAACGTGCCCAGTGGCTAACATCTGCTGATCTTGACCGTTGACCCCAAGAAATTTAACACTGTTTCCCTTTCTCTTCTGAATATAGTTAGACAAGCCCCACTAGTATCGGGGCATTTTATTATCTCACTTCAGCAAAATATATGTAACACAAAACATGCCTTTGTATAAGTTAAGTGTGTAATTCAGTGTCACCAACCACATGCACAATGTATGAGAATATCATTATCCAAAACTTTTCCATCATCCCAGACAGAAACTGTAGAAATCCACTGAGCCAACAGCTCTGTCTCCTCTTAGCCCCTGGAAACCTCTAATCTACATATTTCCTGTCTCTAAGGCATGCCTATTCTCGATATGGTTCACATACGTGGAATTGCACAATACCTGACCTTTTGTGCCTGGCTTAATTCACTTCCCCAGCATAGTGTCATCAAGATTCATACAGCCTGTAGCACCTATTGGCACTTTATTGCTCTTTGTGGCTGAATATTTCCTCGTATGAATACACCACGTTTTGTTTATCCATTCATCCTTCAATTCTTTCTGTCTCTTGGCTATCATGAATAATGCTGCACTGGTGTACAAGTGTCTGTTTGCTGCTTCTCAAGTCTTTTGGGGATGCACCTATCAATGAACTTGCTGGCTCACATGATCATTTTATGCTTAGCTTTTTGAGGCTCTGCTAAGCTGCTCTGCATGGTCACTGAACCATTTTACATTTCCAGCAGCAATATGCAAGGGCTTCAACTTTTCTTCTTTTTCTAACAGTATTTACTTCATTCTGGACTGGAGTCTCCCTCACACCATTCTTACAAGTTTGTTTTTCTTACTCATTCTTTCCTGAGTCCTAATAATTTTTAAATATCAGAATTCAGCAGAGGCTTTTCCCACACTCCACCATGATATGCTATGTTACAGAGAATGGATTTTTGCCTCCCACTGGTCTCTTTGATTAAGAGAATAAACTTTAAGCCAGGCATGAAGATGCATACCTGTAACCGTGTACTCTGGGAGGCTGAGGCAGGAGGACTAAAAGTTTGACCCCAGTCTGTGGAACTTAGTAAGACCCTGTCTCAAGAAAGAAGAAGAAGAAGAAGAAGAAGAAGAAAAAAAGGAGCCAAGAATGTAGCTCAGTGCAAAAGCCCTGGGTTCAATCCCTAGTATAACACGAGAGAGGAGAGAGGGGAGAGAGAGAGAGGGAGGGAGGGAGAGAGAGACAGACAGACACAGAGAGAGAGGGAAGAGAGACAAGGAGACAGAGAGTGGCATGCTGGACGGGAATTCCACCAGTTTCCCGCTCTGTGCTCCTGCTCCGTAAACTGGGGTAATGAGTACTTATTGACTGGGATTACTTTCCAGTGGTTGCAATAAAAAACTATCACATAGTTAATGGCTTAAAACAACATAAAACTGTTAACTTCTAACTCTGGAGGTGAGAGCAGGGCTGGTTTCATCAACACTCCCAGCCAGCAGAGGCCACGTCTCTGTCCTCAGAGCCAGCCACATCTCCGACAGCGGACTCTGGTCACAGAGGCTCGGAATCTCCCATTTAAAGCTCACTAGAGACATCACAATGCCTTTCCCCTAAGGTTGGACAAATATCATCTGGGTTTCCGAGTCCTTTCCATTCCTTGAGGTCTAGGCTCGAAGACAGAAGCTTGTGTATAAAGTACCTCCCCTCATGCATTCTGCAAATACCCACTGAGTTTCAAGTCAATGAGCTGAAGCCCATAAAGCACGTCAGGCCTGGCGCGCAGTAAGTGCTCCGCCAAGGGGCCCGTTGTCGTCTGGCCATCTTCACAATCTCCTAGCCACTTGTTGCCTGAACTTCCTGAGATCGGTGTCCCTGGAATCCAAGGATGTACTGGTTTGTTTCCAACCATTAGTCCACTGTGACTCCTCAAGGCTTCACGCACCATCTTCATCAGACTGATGCACGTGCTTTTCTCGGACAGCGACCGCACCCGCATCACAGCCACATGCTTCCATCCCAGGTGTCCATGACCGCCTCGAAGGCCAGCCCAGCTTCCTCTCAGGTCACAGAGGAAGTAATTCTTTATAGTGGATGCGGAGGCACCTGAGGGCCCAAGGTTTCTTCCTTAGCAGCTACTTTGATATTACTGATCCTGAGGTCAAACTTAGGAGTTTTCATTTTGCTTTTTAAATGCTGTAAGTACTGTCTCCCATTGTATCAGGTTTTCAATTTTAGGCGATCCCTTTTTCCCGTTTCCTATCTCAGATTGTGCTTGGTTGGGTCAGACAGGTCTATCACATGGTCAGCAGATCTGGGGTCGAGGGAGCCTCGGCTACGGTTTGCCCTGCAGACTGAGATGCTGGGCTGTGTAGCTGGAGGTCCTAGGAGAGGTGGTAGCACCAGAAGAGACCACCTGAGGGGATTGGAGCTCATCCAGATGGCCCCCCACCATCTCCGCCAGGAGCCTCCACTGTGTGGCCGGCACCTGCAGGGCAAACCTTCTGCTCTCCTCTCTGAAAGGCCGGGTCACATCCTCCCATTCATCAGCTGCTGACCACAATTTCCTCCTGTCCCCTCTGAAATCCTATTTTCTTCCTGCCTTCCTCCCAGGCTCTCTTCCTTCTGAGGACAGTCCATCCTTGCTAATAAAACTGAGGAAGGGATGTCCCTTTCGTGTTCCACTTACATGGAAAAACTGGCTCTCACCTGGGTAGGGACAGCGAAGCTGCAGCCCATGGTCCGTCCATCTCTCCTTCTGGCCCACAGATTTTTGGATGGGCAGAGTCCCTGACTCCCCTCAGATCTCCCATCAGACTGCTAGCCCTGCGCTCTGAGTGTCCACGCCATCCCTAGGTCATGGGGATACAGGGAGGCAGCTCTGCGATGTGCTCTGGAAATCCCATTAATCCAAATCTCTTATTAACCACATCCTCTCCTTACCTAACCGTGCCCAGGAATGATCTGGCTTGGTACCCTGGACGGTCAGCAGCAAGAGGCAGGAATACTACTAACTTGGTGCATTTCTTCAGCTTTGTCATTGTATCTAGGAATTAAATCCTTTCCAAGTTTATGTTATGGTTAAGGGCATTAAGGGGGAAAAACAGAAATGTAAATAAATGATAAGTACACTAAAAATGGCATAAAAGCCTCAAAAGGAAAAAAAAAGGGGGACTAAATAAGACTCAATAATGCTAAGTGGCAATGATCATAAGAGACAGAGAATTCCGATTAACAAGAAACAGTGGGGTAAATTTTAACTAAATGCTCCAGACTTAAAATATGAACATATACTATGTAAACACTATTTGAATATCTCAATTTTGCTATTCTGAAACCACTGCAATTGTTATAAAAGTACATTCTCTATTCCTATAAAAAATAGGGATACTTTAAGAACATGAACCTTTAAAAATCTTAAAACTAGGGATACACTTCAAGAACATGAACTTTTAAAAATCTTAAAACTAGCATCATTACACAGGTTGTACAGTGTATTTTCCTTCACCAAGTGACAGGAATTCTGGGCCTTAATGAGTCTAAAAGCCTTTAATGATTTTCATTTTGTGAAGAGCAGAGGGCGTTGGAGGCCCATATGCCCCCCTAAAAACCAGGGGATCTAACAAGATGGTCTTGGTGGCAGGACCTCTGCTCCATCCCAGGGTCACAGAGCACCCAAGGCCCCCCCAGGGAGGGGCTGTACCCCCACCGGCCACCCCCACGGGGCTCAGCTAGTCCGTCACAAGCACGTTGGCAACAGCGATTCCAGCCCATCTGTGGTCCAGCATTTTAATATCAAGGTCTTACAAATTTCAACCACAATAGTTTTTAATTACTAGCACATCTTGAACACACCTATTGGGCCAGGGATTTAGCTCAGTGGCGCTGTGCCTGCCTTGCAAGTGCAAGGTCCTGAGTTTGATCCCTGGTACCGCAAAAAAACAAAACAAAACAACAACAACAAAAAACACCTACATCAAATGTCAGCTGGCCCAGGAATCTGAACCAGCACAGAGGAAGAACCTGCTGGCAAAGTCCTGGTTCTGTTCTTCTAAAGAGAGCCAGCAAAGCCAGAGTGGAATCCACACGCAGGCACAGGTCTGCAGGGTGTTTATTAACCAGTGCACGCAGAATGAAAACAAAACCAATACAGCAGAAAAACAACTATTTTTCTGTTCAGTTTTCCATAAGATGTTGTTGTTATTATTATTATTATTTGCATGCTATCAAAAATTCAGTTTTTTGCTGGCCTATGTCTCTCACTTAAGCCTTAGGAAGCACTGTTCTCTAGAGATTCCTCTTGGTGATTCTGAAGCCAATGGGAGGTGATTACACAAGGTCCTCCAGGGCAATGATGGCGAGCCTTTCAGCGCTTTCAATGATACAAATAGTATGCTGCAGCACCTCTGCCACAGGTTCACCACCACTGCTCCAGGTCCTAAAGTGTGGGCTTAGCTTTGCACAACTCTGGTTACTCAGCTGAGGTCTCCTCGGCCCCGCCCTGTCCCCTCCCACCAAGCCCTCCAGCCCTGGCCAGGCAGCAGCTGGGTGCTAACGCAGTACCTGCCATTCCTGGTGTCGTGCTGCCGCATGTTCTTGATAAAATGAATCTTCTTAAAATTCTTTGGTCTGGGCGAACCTGAGAGAGTTCGACATCTGAAACATAAAGCCATTTCAAAAACAGTCAAGTTGCCTGCTGGACAGCTGAGACATCTCCACACAAAGACAGGAAGGAAAGACTATACAAATGCTTTAAGTCACCCAAGGCAGGCAGGAGTTGCAGGATAATAAAGACAATGCAGCTGGAAGCAAGGAAGCTTTAAAAAACCCAGTGACAGACAACTTCCTTGATAACACGGATAATAATTCATATGCTCTGAAAAGCCAGCTAATGAAAACTATTGTCTGAATTAAAATAACTTAACCTATCCCGATTCCAAAGACATTATTCTTTATTGTCATATTAAAAAGAATACTCCTGAATCAACATAGGCAAAGGGAACAGAAAGTTGTAAATTCAAAGGATCTGGGGCTGGGGAGATAACATGGAAAATTCAGTTTAAAAACAACCTTGAATCATTTTTCTTCCAAAGCAGGATTTTGGCCTGAATTAGCTAGACAGTTGCCTCAACTCCCAATTTGACTACACTTGGGAAGTCACCGCTTAAATCTGAATGAGGATGGGAGATGCAGTTAGTTGCTATTTTCAAAGTTTACTTACTTACTTATTTATTTGATTTTTTGAAACAGGGTCTCGCTATGTAGCCCAGGCTGGGCTTGAACTCACTATGTAGCCTAACCTAGACTCAAACTCATGGAGATCCTCCTACCTCAGCCTCCCAAGTGCTGGGACTACAGGTGTGTGCCACCACTGGCTGTTTAAAGATAATTTTAAATAACTATCTACCATACCCAAGTGACGTGGATTCAAAACACTCTTTTTTTTTCTTGGAATATATAACATTTGCTTAGGCTGTAAAGTCTGAAAAGGCCACAGGCCATATACATCTTTACAAAATTCTAAAATTTTGAGACAGAGTCTTGCTAATTCACTAAATTACCCTGGTTGGGTTGGAACTTGTGATCCTCCTACCTCAGCCTCCCAGGGTGTTGGGATTAATTACTTAGGAAATTTTAAGTTACAAAACTGCAACAGCATCACCATTACTAAAACAAAAACCCAATAAATAAGAGTCTGGAGTCTGTCTTCTTGACAAAGAGAGCTGAGCTGCGACTTTATATTTTTGGTTTCTGCTACAAACAAAAACAAAAACAAAACAAAACAAAAAACCCCTTTCTAACCACAGGCCCCATGAGTGATGCTTTGATGAGTGAGTTCCAGAAGAGTATGCCCAGCTCCTCCAGGGCATCACTGAACTAGTCAGTTCGAATTCAGGGCTTCAGGAAAAGGGTGACAACGCGACCCGGGAGGCAGAGTTGTGGGAAGGCAGCGTGCAAAGCAGGCAGGGAAGGGACAGGGTTCAGGCCCACGGGGTCCCAATCATACTCTCGGGGCCGAGGCAGGGCGCATGGAGCGTGGCACACCCCATACACCCTGGCCCAGCCTTCTGGTGAGGGTCAGGCTTTCAGGAACCCTTTCCCACCGCCACTGAACACTCCTGTTCCTCAAGAACAGCACCTTGAAACGAACTACTTGGATAAGTACCACTGAGTGGAATGAATGCAACCCCACACTAGCGGATACTCATCAGTGGCTTTCACTGGGAAAGGGCCTTTCATGGGCCACGGGTCCACAGCAGGACCACAACAGAGACAGAGTCTTCCCGGCCTCCTCAGTGAGCTCTTCACGACTCTGACCAAGGCCACTCGAGGGTCCCAACTGTGGAGACTGTCAGTATTCCAGACCCCTCCCTGCTGCTGCTGAGAGCTAAATGGTCATATACGAGCTTCCTCAACTATCAAGGGACACACTCAAACACTTGATCACATACATACACACACACAAACACACCCACACAAATTTCCAGCACTGCTGTATTATTAACCCACACTAGCTACAAACGATGCCTGTTTGGCTCCGCTTTGCCTTCATAGTCTCAAAGCTGCAGCCCTTGTTACAGGTGCTGGATTCTTGGCTTTAAACAAAGATTCTTTTCAAGACCTGCAGAATGCTGCCTGAAAGGCCCTAGCAGATGCTTCCTGTGGGTTCTGGGCAGGACTGGCACAGGGGACCCTCTAACCCCTCCCCCACTCCAGGCTTCCAAACCCGGAACCCAGATCCGACCAGGCCAGGACTCAAGGGGACAGAGCCTCACTCTCTTCCCCAGAGTCCCAAACTGTTCCCATTATGCCTCCAGATAGGCTGCTTGCGTCTATAGGCCACCAGGGCTCCTTCTGTCTCATATGCAGGACGTTCTGAAAACATGGGCTATTGGGAAAAGAGAACCTGGGAAAGCGTAAAGGAAGATGCTGCCAGTGGTTATGGATAAGGCTGAGGGGTCAAGGGTGTCCTCTCATCCCTACCTCAGTCCCCCTATCACAGGTGCCTGTGCCAGCCGGGCTGGCCAGTGGGCCAGGCCACCTCAGCGAACTCTGCTGCTTCCTCCCGCCACCTCTGCGAAGTGGCCACCGATGCCGGCCCGGAAGAGAAACAACTCTTCTCTGGCTGCTGCCCACCTCCCATGCCCCTGATTCCTTGGCCTTCCTGGGAACTGGATTCAGCACAAGGGGCACAGGAGCTTTCCGTGCCAGCTGGGGCAGGGGTAGCAGCAGCAATGACCTGAACAGCTGTGGCCACCAATGCCCACACTTGGACAGCCCGGGAAACCAGGACAGGTGCTGACAGTGGCTGTGTTTGCTGCCGACAAACCAAGGTTTCTCTCAGCCCCCTATTAAAGATGTCCTAACCCCTTACTTTGGATGCCAGGTGAGTATCAAGCAGGTGGACAACTCCCCAGAGTCCTCTCTTTATTAAGTGCTCAATTCCTGGAGTTCTGGGTGGTTCCGGGAAACACTAACTGACGTGGAAGAGAAAAGCAAGACTTCCAACAGGGTAAATTCCTAACAGTCAGGTCTTTCACTACTAGCTCCCAGCCCTGACGACATACCCTACCAATCTAGCCCTTCAATCAGCAAGCTGTTTGTTGTCTTGCTTTTTTAAAGCATTCAACTAAGCCACCAGGGAACCTAAGCAATGCTTGCAGGGAACGGTGGCGTTAGCAACAATTGCCAAGGAAACTGGAATGCTGCGTGCTCAGGTCACAGCAGGTTAGGTAAAGAAGAAATTAATTTCACAGCCTCCTGCGTTAATGTGGAAATACCTTTTTAAAAACACACACTTTAAGTGATGAAAAATTACATTAGGGTAGAATTAAATTAAAAACTAATTTAATAAAAGATTAGCTCTTTCTTGTTAGCACTGAGAACAGGATGCTCTTAATTATGCAAAAATTTTAATAGATGCCTTGGAGCCATTTGCTTGCATGCTAAGCTTAAAAGCCAGTGGGCTAATAGCCTTCCACCCCCCCAGTTCCCAAAATGCGGCAGTGTCATTTTGGGTACTTTCCACGCAGATCGGAGAGAGCCCGGGCACCAGCCCGTTCAGCTCTCTCATTTTATAGACAGGAGCCCTGAGGTCCTGGAGAGACTGAGCGAGTCACTGAGGCCACACAGCCAGTCAGAAGGGGCAGGCCAAGCAGTCAGGCCCCCAGATCCGGAAACCAGTGTCCCTTCTTCTATATCCCGTTCATTTTATTTCTGAGGCACAAGGAAATGTCTAAATAAATACGAGAACTTTTTTTAATTAAAAAAAAAAAGTCCCAGGGGGTGGCGGTGGTGGGGGGCGGGGAGAAGACTTCTAAAACTGCCTTAGTTTCTGGTTATTTAAAAAAATGTTATATTTGCACAAAATGCATTTGAAATTCAGTGCAGTATCTACAAGGAAGCACTGCATGAAGTGGCAGTGGGGGTGGACTGGCCATTTTGCCTCAGCTTGTCTGTCGGTCTGTGTGGATTTGGGCAGGAAGGTGCAGGTGACAGGGGACCCACCAGGAACACAGTACCCAGATGATCCTCTCTGGCCTGCTCTAAACCTCCTGGAGACACCATGACTCCTGGGTCTGAGGCATGAAGGTCTTGTCCTGGAATCCCTGAGGAGGCAGGAACATGTTTAAGCCTGTGCCCGACTGCCCAGGGTCTCTCTGCTTGTGCCGCCACACAGCCCGAAAGACCATGGCCTCTGGCAGCCTCTCCAAGCACCAGGGCCTCTGAGCTCTATGCACCGACTTCTCTATTTGCAACCTTGGTTAGAACGACCTTATCCCAAGCCACTCAATGCCCCTCACTGCCACCCAAGAACACTGCTCCTCTGAGTCCACAGTCTGAACCAAAGCCAGCTCCTTGCCCTTGGCTGTTAATGCAGTGGGCCACATGGCTCCTTCTAACATGTCACAGTCCCCCGCAGGAGGGCACTCATGCCCAGGCCGAGCACCAGCCCCAAACATCCGTACTCCTCCTCTTCTACCACTGTGCCTTTGGAGGCTGTGCATGTTTCCAAAGACCTAGGAAGCGGAGACCACACTCTCTGGTCCTGCTGTCTCTTTGGGAAAACACGGGTGACCGGATTCATGGTCACACTTTCCATCAGAGCCCTGGCCTGTCTGGGCTCACTCCGGCCTCCGCTTCTTGTGGGAGAAGGAACCCTGTCCAGGGTGGCACCTCCCGGGCTACAGCGGGAAGCCAGGGACTTGCAAGTCCTGCCCAGCAAGTGGCCAAGGCTCACGGAGGGTAGATGCTGGTTCAAGGCCGAGCTGCAGCAAGTCCATTGGAGCTTTGGTCTCCTGCAGGCCCTCTCCTGCTGCCTGCCTCTCAGTGCCTTCCCTGAGACACTTGGAATCCCACTCTTCCTCTCTCAGCACCTTCTGTAGGGCTGAGCCCCCACATGCTGCCCGCTCAGCTCAGGGCTGCAGGGAACACAAGGAGATGCAGCGTGGGAACCCTGGCTGGGACTCTACAGATGCATGCTAACCAAAGGAGAAGGCAGGCTGAGAGGAGGGAGCACTGCCAGTCACAGAAATGCACAGCTCAGCAACTGCTGCCACCCAAAAAGATGCCTCACCAGCATTTTTCTAATCCCAAGACGAAAATGGACCACTTCCAGGCCCACGAAGCCCTCACAACCATCCTTATCAGGTTTCCCCAGCGTCCAGCCAGGGAGTGATGTCGCAGGCATCTCCTAAGGGGTTCTGGTTGCTCCTCTTGCTAAAAATGAATCCCAAGACCATAACTACCATGTGATCACATCTGCAACAGTACTGGGCTCTTCCTCCATTAAACAGCAGCTTTCAGAGTGAAAAGAAAGGCCAGGTTTTAGCTCAGTGGTAAAGCACCTGCCTAGTATGTACAGAGAAGGGCTGGATCCATAGCACTGCAACCCCCCCCCCCCAAAAAAAACCCC